ACATTTATACCATATTTGACACGATCGGTGTTGTTCCCCTGTAAGATGGAAAAGCGTTTCTAAAGAAAAGATCGAAGAACAAAGGTGAAAATGAAGCTAACTTTGTCTGTCAAACTAGTCGCAGTGTTTTCCCGTAATAACAGATTCGCGTAGTCGAGTATATTACAAAATTATTTAACAATTTACCCTGTTCGCACTCGTCGAAGAACAAGGGTGGAAACGAAGCTAACTTTGTCTGTCAAACTAGTCGCAGTGTTTTCCCGTAATAACAGATTCGCGTAGTCGAGTATATTACAAAATTATTTAACAACTTACCCTGTTCGCACTCGTCGAAGAACAAGGGTGGAAACGAAGCTAACTTTGTCTGTCAAACTAGTCGCAGTGTTTTCCCGTAATAACAGATTCGCGTAGTCGAGTATATTACAAAATTATTTAACAACTTACCCTGTTCGCACTCGTCGATGTCGTTGGAGCAGTCGACGCCCTTGTACCCGGTGGCGCAGGAGCACGCGAACGAGCCGTTGATGGGGCTGGTGTCGCAGATCGCGCCCTCGTGGCAAGGGTTCGACGTGCAAGCGTCGTCCAGATGGCAGAGCAGCCCTGAAAAAAACGAGAGAAAGAGACGATTGACCATCGAATTTCAACGATTATTCAGCGGCGGCCATTCGATCGGCACCGCCATTTTGAAGGGGGACAGCCTGAATAATCCTAGCTAGACCTGTGCTGTTGCGCGCGCTCGTTGAATAAAAGTGTCGATCGTCGAACGCCAAACTCGGCGGCAACTCGGCCAAACATGGACATCATTAAGGTCCGCGTTAACCTAGCTAGAAAGATAGCACGGGAGGATATCGCGGAATATAGAGAGAATGGCGGAGAATAGTGACAAATCCCAGCAACGTTCGTCCGTCGGTTGGTGCGTTCGTATTTCAGTAAATTACTGAGAATCCGTCGGCGCACGAGAGAGAGAGAGCTTGCGCAGGATAAGACGGTCTAATTGCTCCCCACAGCGAGAGGAAATCCGAAGAATTTCAATTGCAGTTGCACCGAGTACTCGGTGATGCGCGTTCGCTGCCAAACAGGGGGTTTTGAGCCATTGATCCATGGTAATTGAAGCTTGAGTCTCGAGTAGCGTAGTTTCGTTTATCTCTTCTCTTCTTTTTTT